GGACTTGATCCCAGAACCCCAGGATCATGCCCTGAGCTAAAGGCAGAAGCTCAACCACTGAGCCACACAGGTTCCCCTAGATTTTTTTAACTGTGTTTTTTAACTGTGTTTGTTTAGTGCTTCCAGCAACATTTTTGAAAATGACTTATCCTTTCTCCATTGGACTGCCTTCACTCCTTTGTCAAGGATCAGCTGAGTATATTTGCATAGGTCTATTTCCAGACTTTCTATTCAGTACCATGGACATATTTATTCTTTCCCCAATACGATGACACCATCTTGATTACTACAGCTTTATAGGAAGTCAAGTTTGTTTCTCCTTCCCTGCATTACTACTGTCTTCTTTTTGTTCTTTTCACTTCTTTTAGTTGACTTTTGGAGAGAAACATTAAAATTCCTTTCTCATATTCTTTTATGTACAGTTAAACCTTGAACAATAAAGGGATTAAAGGGTACCAAAAGCCCATGCAGTCAAAAATCTGCATGTGATTTTTGACACCCCCCAAAAAAGCCACTAATAGCCCATTATTAAACAAAAACCTTAATGATAATAAATTTAATTAGCACTTATTTCATGATATATTATATATTCTATTCTTACAATAAAGTAAGCTAGAGAAGAAATTTACTAAGAAAATCATAAGGGAGAGAGAATACATTTACAGTACTGTATGTAAAAAATCCATATGTAAATGGACCTGCACAATTTAAATCTATGTTATTTAAGAGTCAACTGTATATCCTTTTATGTATAGCTATTTTCTTTGTTATTATTTTGTTATTGTTATTTGTTATTACTGGGGAGATGGGGTTACATTTAACATCCTAAAGTTATAACACTCTAATTTGAATTTATGCCAGCTGAATTTCAGTAACATACAAAAACACTACTCCTTTACATCTCAGGCTTCATCCCTGTGATTGTCAATGTCACAGAATCACATCTTCATACATTTGTGCCAAAAAAACATACTCAGTTTCTTAATTCATTAGTCACTTAAATTATGCAGAAAACAAGATTTGGAGCTACAAACCAAAGTTCCAATAATACTAGCTTTTAGATTAATAATTGCAGGTTGCTTTCACTAACTGTATTGCTCTCTTAAATCATACAGAAGACAAAAAGTAATTACAAGCCACTGTTACAATAATAATAGACTTTATAATTGCCTGTGTATTTACCTTTGTTTTCTTTATTTCTCTTTGGCGTCTAGTTATTGTCTAGCGTCATTTCATTTCACCTTGCAAGAATCCCTTAAACATTTCTTGCAGAGCAGGTATAGTGGTCACAAACTCCCTCAGCTTTTATCTTTAATTTTCCCCTCACTTTTGAAGCAGTTTTCCTGCATAGGGGATTCTTGGTTGACAGTTTTTGTCTTTTTGCATTCTGAATATATAAATCCACTGCCTTCTGGCACCTAACATTTTTGATGAGAAATCTGATCATCTTATTGAGGATCACTTGTGTTTAATTATTTGCTACTCTATTGTTTTCAACATTCTTTAGCACTTGAAAGTTTGATTATAATGTATCTTGGTGTGGGTCTCTGAATTCATCCTACTTTAAGTGTGTTGAGCTTCTTGTATGTTTGTCTTTCATAAAATTGGGAAGTTTTCATCTATTGTTCCTTCAAATATTGTCTCTTTTTCTCTGCTCTTTCTGGGACTCCCACAGTGTATGTTTGACTGCTTGATGGTGTCCCACAGACCCCTTAAGCTCTGTTCACTTTCCTTCAACCTTTTTTCTTTCTAATGTCCATTGTCCGATCTTCAAGTTTCCTGATTCTTTCTCCCTGTTCAAACCTTTCTTTGAATCCCTCTAGTGAATTTTTCATTTGCGTTTTTCTACTTTTTAGCTCCAGAATTTGTCTTGGAATCTTCCTAAGTTTTCTATTTCTTTGTTGATATTTCCATTCTGTTCATACATAGTTTTAGTGGCTTTCTCCACATCTTCCTTTAGTTGTCTGATTATCTTTAAGACAGTTGTTTTAACCTCTGTGTCTAGTATATATGTCATCAGGTCTTTTTCAAGAATAGTTTGTTGGCTTTTTTTCCCTTTAAACCATATTTTCCTGTTTCTTTGTATGCCTTATGATTTTTTGCTAGAACACTAGAATTGTATATAATCCTAATAATAATGTGGTAACTCTAGAAATCAGATTCTTTCCCTTCCTCAGGGTTTGTTAATTTTTGTTACTATTTTTGTTGTTCTGATTGTTGTAGGCTTCTGTGTGAGGATCACTCTTGGGTATAAACTTAAGGTCTTTTCAGGTCTTTTCTGAGCCTTTCTCTGGGTACGCATGGTCACTTTCTAACTTTCCCACTTTTTAACTTTTCTAATATGCAGTTGTTTTTGAATGTCAGAGTCTGGCTCCCAAATGGGGAAGGGAAAAATGAACACGATAAGAAAAAGGGGTGCCAGGCCTTTAAATATCCTGGAAGTCACTTCAGCCAGAGGGATAGGGGCTTGCAGCAATTGGGGAGGTACAAAAATGGCTACTTCTTTGTCTACAGTTCTGTGATCATGACATTATTAGGAAACATAATGAAAAATTCAATATTCTAAACATATCAACTTTCTCCCAAAGTGATTTGTAGATTCAGTGCAATCTTAATCAAAATCCCAAAACATTTGAAAGGAGAGGGCTACCAAGCTAATTGTAAAGACATGATACCAATGAATAGTCATGACATTGTTAGAAGATGAATGTATTTTCTCCACAGGTAGCAGATGCATTAAAAGCAATTATAAGGGATCCCTGGGTGGCGCAGCGGTTTGGCGCCTGCCTTTGGCCCAGGGCGCGATCCTGGAGACCCGGGATCGAATCCCACATCGGGCTCCCAGTGCATGGAGCCTGCTTCTCCCTCTGCCTGTGTCTCTGCCTCTCTCTCTCTCTCTCTGTGACTATCATAAATAAAAAATTTTTTAAAAAAAGCAATTATAATTAAAATAATGTGGTATTATCACAAGGCTTAAATATAGAAAGTCCAAAAATATGGAAATTATATTTCATAAAAGCAGCACTTTGGTGGGGAGAAAATAAACTTTATAATCAAACTTGCCAAGGCAACTAGAAAAAACTGGACCCCTATTTGATAGATCATGAGAGAAATCAACTATAGGTAGGATAATAACCTCAATGTGAAAGTCAACACTAAAAAGCTTTTTTAAAATAATTATATAGGGATCCCTGGGTGACTCAGCGGTTTAGCGCCTGCCTTCGGCCCAGGGCGCAATCCTGGAGTCCCGGGATTGAGTCCCACGTCGGGCTCCTGGCATGGAGCCTGCTTCTCCCTCTGCCTGTGTCTCTGCCCGCCCCCAGTCTATCATAAATAAATAAATCTTTAAAAAATAAAATAATTATATAGATATATTTATGAATTAAAGGTACAGAAGGATTTTTCTTGAGAGAGAGACCGTGCTAGCAGAGTTGGGAGGAAGAGGGAGAATCTTAAGCAGGCTCCATGCTCAGCATGGAGACAGGTGCAGGTCTCAATCTCATGACCCTGAGATTGTGACCTGAGCTGAAATCAAGAGTTGGACAATCAACCGACTGAGCCACCCAGGTACTCCCAGAAGGATAGCTTTGTAGTAGCTCACAAAAAATATCCATCACAAAGGAAAAGACTGATAATTCTACTTTAAAATTAGGAACTTTTATTCATCAAAAGATTCCAGAAAAAGAGTAGAAAGCCAAGCCACATAACAGAGGATATCTGAAACACAAATATAGTAACTACAATATATAAAGAACTCATCTAATCAGTAAGAGAAAGATTATCAAACCAATACAAAAATAAGCCAAAGACATGAACAGAATCTACAAAAGAAAAGTTCTAAATGGCCAATAAATATATTAAAAATCAGGGACACCTGGGTAACTTAGTGGTTGAGCATCTGCTTTCAGCTCAGGGCATGATCCCAGGGTCCTGGGATCCAGTCCCATATCAGGCTCCTGCAGGGAGCCTACTTCTCCCTCTGTCTATGTCTCTGCCTCTTTCTCTGTGTCTCTCATGAATAGATAAAATCTTTTTTAAAAATTTTAAAAATATTTAAAAACAGACCAAACTCATTAGTAATCAAGGAGATGGAAATAAAAGTACAATGACAAGATGCAAACCCACAAAAATTTTTAAATCTGCACTTAAGGGTGTGGTACAACCAAATTCTCATATATTCTTTTTATTTTTTATTTTTTTTCATATATTCTTTTTTAAAAAAATTTATTTATTTATTCATGAGAGACAGAGACATAGGCAGAGGGAAAAACAGGCTTCCCATGAGGAGCCCAATGTGGGACTTGATCCCCAGAACCCAGGATCATGACCTGAATCAAAGGCATACACTCAACCACTGAGCTACCCAGGCGCCCTCTCATATACTACTGATAGGAGTATAGATGGGTATAATACTTTGGAGCACAGCTTGGCATTATCTAGTACAATCAAAGATACATATACCTTCTGACCTGACACTTTTACTCTTAGATAGATATCCCAGAGGCTTTATGCTCAGGTATATTAGTAAACATGTCAAGTGACATTTGTAGTATCATTATTTATAACAGCCAAATTAGAAATAACCCAAATTTTAACCAAAAATATACTGAAAGTTAATAACCAAGAGTTAAGAGTTATTTTAGTATATCCAAACAATGGAATTCTTACAAAAATGAATGAAGTGGAGCTACCAATATGGATGACTTTCACAAATACAATAATGAATGAAGGAGCATGACACAAAAGAATACATACATTATCATGTCACTCACCTAAATTCTAAAAAGGGCTAAATTAAACAATACTTTTTGAAATGTATGCATAGTCATAAATATATATATTCATAGGGTGTTTCTGGAGTCCTGGCAATGTTCTGTTTCTTGTCATGGGTGGCTATTCATCAAACTGTATATATGTTTTATGTACTTTCCTGTATATTTCACTATAAAAATAGATTTTTTAAAGTCATGTGGCTGATAAATGTTAGGAATACTCCCTAACTGAAAATTCTTTAAGAACAATGGATTCCCCTAATGCTCCCTAATGCTCCCTAATGCTTCCCATCAGGATCCAGAGCAAATTTGGAACGTGATGTTTGTATTCTTCTCCTTTCAACTGAAGAAGTTTGAGTTGGCGCACTGTGGTAGAACAAGAAGTGAAAAGATAGAAATACATATAAAGAATCAAACTAAGAGATACTAAAAGTATTAAATGAGTCTGCCATCAATTAGAGATCAAAGGAATTATTCTATATCTAAAGTTTGAAATGTGTTACAATCTAATTTTTTAAAATAACCAAGTTCTTCAGCATGCTATAAAACTGTCCAGGGAGAAAGACAAAAAGGATCCAGCAATGGCTATAAGTTCAGCTGAAAAAGGCAAGGGAGAATGGGAGATAAGGAAGTATAGATAATTCATGGCCATCAAGAAGAGCAGAGTAACGGAATGGAAAATATAACATGAAGCACAACCTTTTTTAAAATAAGGAAGACATTATACTATGTGGTTGAGGCAATAGCATAAGAATCAGTTAGTTGAAAAGTTAAAAAGTTGCTGTCAGGGGCACCTGGATGGCTCAGTCAATTGGGCATCTGATGCTTGGTTTTGGCTCACATCATGATCTGGTGGCTGTGGGACAGAGCCCGGAGTTGGGCTCCACACTCTCTCTCCCTCTGCCCCTCCCCCTGCTCACATGCTCTCTCTGAAATAAATAAATAAATAAATAAATAAATAAATAAATAAATAAATATTTTTTTTAAAGTAGCTATCAAAGAGAGTGAATGTTTGAAACAGAATTGGGGCTGGTTAAATACAAGGTTTACATATCACTTAGGGGGAGTGAATAAGTGAAAGAACTTGGAAGAGAAAGATCATTTGAAATGAGGTTAAGGAATTGAGAATTAACATGTATTATGATAAGGATGCAGAAGTCACCAACAATGGTGACAGGTGTAGTGAAGGAGAGGAGGTGTAGTGGCTGGAGTCTAATGAGAAAAGAGAGAGAGAGATCTAAGGTAGGGTTATAAGGAGGTAGGCTCCTTCAAGAGCCAGATTAAGCAAGGTTTTCTAGTTTTGATTTTATCATTGTGTAATCTGTGGGCCAACAGTTCTGATCTTCAGTCTATTCAAGGAGAGGAAACTGGTAAATGATATGACAACACATAGTGGGTGATTCAGTCTCTGAAGTGCTTTAAAGGAGCTGGGGACTGATAATGGAAAATAATGGACTGTGGGGGAAGACAAAGCAAGAACCATTATCAACTGGTATAAGGGAAAGTTGTATATCATGGCATGGCTAAAGTGTTCACTTGAAGCCAAAAGGTGAAATAATATTCAAAGAGGCTGAAGATAATATGCAATATTTCTTATAAAGTTTCAAACAGTACGGTGGAAGCGATTTTAAGAAAGAGTGGGGAATTAAGTTGACTGGGAGATATATACATCTGTATGATGAAAAGAGTTCCACTGATGATCAGAGCCCTGGAAAGCTTGTACTTCGGGACCTCAGTGAGATAACTGAAGGTGTAAGACAAATAGGAACTGGTCCTAAATCACCCCTTAGGGGAAGGAGAGTAATTTTGCTAGTGGGAACTGGTCTCTAAGAAGACAGTTCTAGTGGTAAGAAAAACACTGCCATGCTAGTCGAGGAAGGGATCTTGTTTACCTTAAATTCTGCTGGAAGCCTGTCAGGGGCTGGTCTTACCAAGACCACATGAGATTTTGAAGGCTTATATGCCTGAGCTCTGCAGATCTCCTTTACAGATGCGTTGTAGCCAGAGTGATGATCTTACTAGGATTACTATTATTGGATCACAGCTTGGAAATTACTGTAAGAAAACCTAAAAGATCATTACTGAGAATGAAGTCAGGAAAGAACGCTCAGAATGTAATGATATTTAGGCTGAGACCTAGAGCAGCATAGCAGTTAGTCAGGTGAGTAGCGCATACTACACAGAGTGAGTGACATAAGGGGGTAGAGCACAGGTACTATATATATATAGATTCTAGATGTATCTGAGGTAATGAATGAAGGCTCCTGTGGCTGGAGTCTAATGAGAAAAGAGAGAGAGAGATCTAAGGTAGGGTTATAAGGAGGTAGGCTCCTTCAAGAGCCAGATTAAGCAAGGTTTTCTAGTTTTGATTTTATCATTGTGTAATCTGATTTATATTTTTAAAAAATATTACTCTGGTTACTGTGTCAAAACCAGTTAGAAGAGTACTGCAATAGCCCCGATCAGTAGTAGTATAGGCTTAAAGTGTTGCTAGTAGATGAGAGCACACAGAATTGAGATAATTCAGTTAGAAGAAATCATCAACGAAATTTGACTGTATGGTAATCACAGTATAGAGTGGCCCCTAGAATGTTTCCTAGCTTTCTGACTAGAGATCTTCACAAGGTTCTGGTTTGAAATCTGTCTATACTTCAGAATGCAGCATTGTAGTTATCCTATTTCTACTAATTTTTCTTCCATAAAAATTATCTCTTACTAAGTAAGAACTTAGAATAATACAATTGCATTTAGTACTCCAAATCTTTTCAACAATCTTATCAGTTAGACGTTCTTTTCCTTTTAAACTATGAGGAAATGAGACGGGGAAGTCAAGTTTGGTAAAGTAATTTACTTAAGATAAAAGCTGCCAATAAAACTCTGGTCTAAGTGATTTCAGTTTTTCCAATCATCCCTTATACTATATTACCTTTCATTTCCCTCTCTTCCCTTCTATCTGAACCAATGTACCTTTTTTCCCCTCATTACCAAATCCAATGATCAATTTTCAGTCCTCAACTTACTCATGTTCCCTGATATGAAAAACACTGCCCTTCTTAAATACTTTTTCCACGTGGCTTCTGAGATACCATATTTTCTTTATTTTCCTATTAGCTCACGAGTTATTCCTTCTCAGTCTCCTCTGACGGACCTTTCCCTCCTTTCTAACTAAAATAAAGAGTGGATTAGGGTCCTTTTCTTTTTTTAACTATTATATAACTTCATAAATTATTTCTTCCAAATCTAAGGTTTCAATTCTACTTAAACATATATTATTTTTTCCAGGTCCTTTCTTGATTTCTTCCTATTTCTAACAGATAATCCTAAAGTATCATGAACAAAACAGAACTCTTGAACATCTGTCTTTTCCAACTAAGAAAAAGACATCCAATTGTTCAGGCATAAATTTAAAAAGTTATACTGGATTTTTCTTTCATTATATACCACTTCCAATTAATGAGCAAGAGGCACGACCTTTAAAATCTGATCAGGGGGATCCCTGGGTGGTGCAGCAGTTTGGCGCCTGCCTTTGGCCCAGGGCACGATCCTGGAGACCCTGGATTGAATCCCACATCGGGCTCCTGGTGCATGGAGCCTGCTTCTCCCTCTGCCTATGTCTCTGCCTCTCTCTCTTTCTCTCTCTGTGACTATCATAAATAAATAAAAATTAAAAAAAATTAAAATCTGATCAGAATCTGACACCTTCATGTCACCTTCGCTTACTACTGCCCTCATCTAAGCCATCACAATTTCTAATTTAAAAAATGGCTTTCCAACTGGTCTTTCTGCTTCACTCTTGCTCCCATTTTATTTTCTATACAATATCTGGATTAGTCTTTGAAAATAACAAGTTTAATCACATCACTTTCCTCATTGAAATCAGCCAATCATTCTCATTGTAGTTTCAATGTAATCCCAATTCTTTCTCATGGCATACAGGTCCCTATATGACCTAGTCCCATCTCCTCTCTGACCTCATTTCCAACCTTTATTCTCCCTCATTAACTGGATCAAATATAGGTAAAATTGTTAGCACTGGAGAAGAAGAGCTATTCCCTATTTGAAAATACAGGGAAATGTAAAAGGAAGTGGTAATTGGGGTGAAGAAGGGGTTTCCTTTGGTAACTGATGGTAAAACAATTTTGCCTTCCAGTATTCAAGCTTTTACGCCAATGGCCTTGGTTTGGTCTCCTCTTTGAGGAGAACTTCTCAGCTAATATCCCAAAGTTGTAGCCAACAAATTAAGTGATCTGACTGTTCTCCACATGGCCTCCTCTTGTCTGACCATCTCTTACTCACCTGAACTCTGACTTCTTGTCACTTCCTGCACAACCTTCCAGGGCTCTTTCCCTTGCTTCAACAAGGAAAGCACATCTGCTTTAGAAATGGAAAATCCTGCTTATAAGAATGGAAAAAGATATGATTATACTCTGCTTTCCCAGGATTAAAATTGAGTCCATTGTTCATCAAGTAAGAATGTCAATTACAGAAAGATTCAGAGGGTGGCACCTGGGTGGCTCAGAGGGTTAAGTGTCTGCCTTTGGCTGGGGTCATGATCTCAGGGGTCCTGGGATCGAGCCCTGAATTGGGCTCCCTGATCATCAGGGAGTATGCATCTTACTCTCCATCGACTCCCCACTCCTCATACTCTCATGTACTCTCTCTCTCTCTCTCTCAAATAAATAAATAAATAAATAAATAAATAATCTTTTTTAAAAAAGATACAGAGGAAGGATATCTGAAGAATAGCAAAGATAAAGGTACTCAATGGAGCTGTTCATTTTGAAGTCTATAAACCACAGATAACTTAGTTGGGACTAGGGGTCTGAAATTCACCTAGGTACTTGAAACATTTCCCAAATTTCACAAATTTGCTTGAAGTCAAATTATTGGGACCAAACTTACCCAGCGAGACCAGGTTGCTATAGTTTTCCAACATCACATCTCTGTACAAATCCTTCTGTTCCAAGTCCAGGCACTCCCACTCCTCCTGAGAGAAATCTACCGCCACATCCTTGAACAACACCAACCTCTGAAATGGCAAACCCAAGTGTTACTGACAAAATAAAGAAATATTTTTAGAATGAGAGCACCACATACACACAGTAATAAAAGGAGGAGAAAAGTATTACATAAAGGGGCCAAATAGCAAATATGTTGAAGCTGGAAGCTTGTGATGTGGGTAGATAATAGAAGGTAAGTGAGTGTGAAATACAGAGCACCTAAACAATTCCTGAACATTCCTATTTACTCTATCACATACAGCAATGGGAATGAACAGCAATGGGAATGAACAGAAGTCAGGTAAGTATAGTTTTGTGAAATAATGTGTGCTAGCACATAACACATGCAAATCCTCAAATAAAATGAAAGTTCCTTCCTTCCTTGTCCTTTTAAAGAACTGAAAACAGAAAGAAAAGAAGGGAAGAAAAAAGGGAGGCCTGGAAGGAGAGAGGGAAGAGAAAATAAAAAGAAATCTAATAGGCACATTCCAAAATTTCTCTTAAAATGTTTATCTTAGGGGCATCCCAGGTGGCTCAGCAGTTTAGTGCCACCTTCAGCCCAGGATCTGATCCTGGGGACCAAGGATTGAGTCCCATGTCAGGCTCCCTGCATGGAGCCCGCTTCTCCCTTTGCCTGTGTCTCTGCCTCTCTCTCTCTCTCTCCTCTCTCTCTCTCTCTCTCTCTCTTTCTCTCTCTCTGTGTCTCTCATGAATAAATAAAATCTTTTAAAAAATGTTATCTTAGAAAATAAGATTTACACATAATTTCAGAATTTCTTTCCAAGTTAAGTCTCAGAATAATTTAGTAATAATATTCTTTCTTCCTAGTCCTGGAAAATCCTTTCACAGATATCATTTTTAGATATTACATAATATTCCATATTATGATTGTAATCAATTTCTTATTTTGCAGTAGTTTGCACCCCTCCTCTAACATCCTTCGCAGCTGTTTCTAAAATCCTCAATCGTTTAATCATCTGGCTGATCATATTATCACTTACCATTGCTCCCTATACACTTCTGCTTATTATGTGCAACAGAAAGCTAATGAAAGATGAGCTACACTCACTCAGATGTGGCTTTTGACCTATATATGCTACTCAAATTCAAAATGAACCCTGTCACTGTATTAATTTCTTAGGTATTCCCTGACACAATTCTCTCTCTCTCTTTCTCTCTCTCTCTCCTCACTCTTGCATTTGATCACATTCCCAATCTTATAAGCTTCATAGAGCAGATCTTACTATATTCTGAGACTAATACCAATTTCCATCTTAATCGATGAGAAAATCCAAGTCAATGAGAAAGACCAAAGTTTTCATATGTAGTACCATCTCATCAAAACACATTCTGACAGGAGAGGTTCTACACTTTCCTCAAATACATTTAGTGATTTGCAAATGGATCCCAAAACACTATTAGGGAAGGGAGGAACAGGTGAGAAAGACCTGGGACTCATTCCCATCATTCACTAGAATGAGAGTGAGCAAGAGAGCAAACACTTGGTAAAACAGAAAGTCTGGAGATAAGAATACAGAACATTCAACAATGATTGATATAAAAAAGGAAGAAGAGGGGAATCCCTGGGTGGCTCAGTGGTTTAGCTCCTGCCTTCAGCCCAGGGCGTGATCCTGGAGGCCCAGGATCAAATCCCATGTCAGGCTCCCTGCGTAGAGCATGCTTCTCCCTCTGCCTGTGTCTCTGCCTCTCTCTCTCCTCTGTGTCTTTCATGAATAAATAAAATCTTTAAAAAAAAAAGTGAAGAAGAGGGGCATCTGGGTGGCTCAGTCAGTCACATGTCTGCCTTCAGCTCAGGTCATGATCCCAGGGTCCTGGGATTGAGCCCCGCATTGGGTTCCTTGCTCAATGGGGAGCCTCTTCTTTCTGTCCCCCTCTGCCCCTCCCCACTTGTGGTTCTCTCTCTCGCTCACTCTCTTAAATAAATAAAATTTAAAAAATAAAAACAAAGGGGAAGAAGAAACATGAACTCACACAAGGCATGGCTTAGAATCGCAACTTATGAGTCCTCCTCTGGCTTCTCCTCATGGAGAAGTGCAGTCCTAAGAAACAGGGAAGAAAAAAGAAACCATGAAAAAAGGCCTACTTCTAAATGACTAGATTAAATATTTCTTCCCCTTTTCATGGTGCCTGGTCTCTTCTATGTTCCAAAATACATACTGCAGAAGTCCAGACAATCTCATTCCTTCCCTAATTCCAGAAAACAGAGATGTAGAAGAACTAATTTATGCTAAAGCAGTACCCAATCCCCATGATGTTGTTAAGAGTTCCCTGACCTGGTCTTAGTAGTTCATCTTTTACAACCTAGGGGACTGTGATCCAAATTTATTCATGTAGTACCCACCTCAAGAACACTGTTAGTGTCCTCAGGCCTTGAAATACTCTGTAACTATGTAGGCCAATTCCTAGGGAAAACCCTTTCCATGATTAAGATCTACCTCTTTCCCCCAGTCACAACACACTAAATACCTCAGGTGCTTCCCTGGATCATTCTCACATTCCAAGTGCAAGAAGGATGCTGAATGCAAAGCACAGGCTTCATCCAGGCCACATAAAGTCCCACTACATTCACCCAGTAACCAAGGAACAAATTCAAAGCATTATCTAACAGAAAACAACTGCCTGTTGCATTGACTTACGGCCTTAGCTGAATTCAGGAACTTTGGAGGCAGTACCTCCCTGTAATCCCGCTTAACATCATTCTGTCTCTAAATGTCAAGTTAATATATGTTCTCATTCATTTGGGGAATATAAATAATAGTGAAAGGGAATATAAGGGAAGGGAGAAGAAATGTGTGGGAAATATCAGAAAGGGAGACAGAACATAAAGACTCCTAACTCTGGGAAACGAACTAGGGGTGGTGGAAGGGGAGGAGGGCGGGGGGTAGGGGTGAATGGGTGACGGGCACTGAGGGGGGCACTTGACGGGATGAGCACTGGGTGTTATTCTGTATGTTGGTAAATTGAACCCCAATAAAAAATAAATGTATTTAAAAAAAATAAATGTCAAGTTAAAGGCATTGAGGAGCTTAAGAAAGTGGTTGTACAGGGGCACCTGGGTGGCTCAGTGGTTGAGTGCCTTTCACTCAGGTTGTGATCCTGGGGTCCTGAGATTGAGTCCTGCATCAGGCTCCCCACAGGGAGCCTCCTTCTCCCTCTGCCTATGTCTCTGCCTCTCTCTTTCTGTGTCTCTCATGAATAAATAATTAAAATCTTTTTTAAAAAGTGGCTGTACAAGAAATAATTTCCCCCAAGCACATACCATGTGCTTGATGCCTTATATACATTAATACTTAATTGATCAGCAAATAGGTCTGTGAATATAACCACCACCACCACCACCACCATTCTCCACCACTACCAGCTCTAGCATCTTCCTTGTATCTGTTTCTTTTTCTAACAGCTTTACTGACAAAAATTCACATTTCATAAATTCATACTCTTAAAAATACCAGTAAATGGTTTTTAGTATATTAATAGAGATGTGCAACTATCACCACTATCTACTTGCAGAGTATTTTCATTATTAAAAAAACCAAACCAAATGAAAAACCCATACACATTAATAATTACTTCCGGGATCCCTGGGTGGCGCAGCGGTTTGGCGCCTGCCTTTGGCCCGGGGCACGATCCTGGAGACCCGGGATCGAATCCCACTTCGGGCTCCCGGTGCATGGAGCCTGCTTCTCCCTCTGCCTCTCTCTCTCTCTCTGTAACTATCATAAACAAATAAAAAATTTATTAAAAATAATAATAATAATAATTACTTCCATTCTTCCAGATCCTGGCAACTACTAATTTACTCTTTGAATCTACAGATTTGTCCATTCTAGATAGACATTTTGTATAAATGAAATTATACAGTATGTGTCTTTTGTGATTAGCTTCTTTCATGTACTATAAAGTTTCAAAGTTCATTTATATTTCAGCATGGACCAGGACTTCATGCCTATATATTGCCAAATAACATTCCATTGTAAGGATAGAGCATCTTTTTTTCCCCCATTCATCAGTTGATGGACATTTGCACTGTTTTCACCTTTTGTTACTATAAGAACATTCAGCTACATCTTTTTATGGGGACATATATTTCATTTCTCTTAGATATATATACCTAAAATGGATTTATGGGGTCATATGATAACTCTATGTTTAACATTTTTAGGAACTGCCAAATTCTGTTCCAAAACAACTGCATCATCTTATAGTTCCAACAAAAATCTGTAAAACTTCCAATTATTCTACATCCTTACCACCTTTTGGGGTTATAGTCATTCTTTTTTTTTTTTAATTAATTTTTATTGGTGTTCAATTTACCAACATACAGAATAACACCCAGTGCTCATCCCGTCAAGTGTACCCCTCAGTGCCCGTCACCCATTCACCCCCACCCCCCACCCTCCTCCCCCTCCACCACCCCTAGTTCATTTCCCAGAGTTAGAAGTCTTTATGTTCTGTCTCCCTTTCTGATATTTCTCACACATTTCTTCTCCCTTCCCTTATATTCCCTTTCGCTATTATTCATATTCCCCAAATGAATGAGAACATACACTGTTTGTCCTTCTCCGGTTACTGTGGCCAAGTTCAAAAAGGGTGTTGCCTGAGTTCTTCTCTGGGATTTTGATGGAATCTTGTCTCACATTTAGATCTTTCATCCATTTTGAGTTTATCTTTGTGTATGGTGCAAGAGAGTGGTCCAGTTTCATTCTTCTGCATGTGGATGTCCAATTTTCCCAGCACCATTTATTGAAGAGACTGTCTTTCTTCTAGTGGATCGTCTTTCCTCCTTTATCGTATATTAGTTGAGCATAAAGTTCAGGGTCCACTTCTGGGTTCTCTGTTCTGTTCCATTGATCTATATGTCTGTTTTTGTGCCAGTACCACACTGTCTTGATGAACACAGCTTTGTAGTACAACCTGAAATCTGGCATTGTGATGCCCCCAGATATGGTTTTCTTTTTTTAAAATTCCCCTGGCTGTTTGGGGTCTTTTCTGATTCCACACAAATCTTAAAATAATTTGTTCTAAGTCTCTGAAGAAAGTCCATGGTATTTTGATAGGGATTGCATTATACGTGTAAATTGCCCTGGGTAACATTGACATTTTCACAATATTAATTCTGCCAATCCATGAGCATGGAATATTTTTCCATCTCTTTGTGTCTTCCTCAATTTCTTTCAGAAGTGTTCTGTAGTTTTTAGGGTATATTTTGAGAACCATTTGAATGGTAAATGGTTCTCCAACCTTTTATTTTCAGGTTGTAGGTGTCCTTCTGTCTAAAATGAGTCTCTTGTAGACAGCAAATAGATGGGTCCTGTTTTTTTATCCAGTCTGAAACTCTGCGCCTTTTGATGGGGTCATTAAGCCCATTCACGTTCAGAGTTACTTGAACTTCTTCTTAAAGGGGAGTTTTAAGAGTCCCCCTTAAAATTTCTTGCAGAGCTGGTTTGGAGGTCACATATTCTTTCAGTTCCTGCCTGTCTTGGAAGCTCTTTATCTCTCCTTCCATTTTGAATGAGAGCCTTGCTGGATAAAGTATTCTTGGTTGCATGTTCTTCTCATTTAGGACCCTGAATATATCCTGCCAGCCCTTTCTGGCCTGCCACGTCTCTGTGGAGAGGTCTGCTGTTACCCTAATATTCCTCCCCATGAAAGTCAGGGACTTCTTGTCTCTTGCTGCTTTAAGGATCTTCTCTTTATCTTTGGAATTTGCAAGCTTCACTATTAGATGTCGAGGTGTTGAACGGTTTTTATTGATTTTAGGGGGGGATCTCTCTATTTCCTGGATCTGAATGCCTGTTTCCCTTCCCAGATTGGGAAAGTTTTCAGCTAGGATTTGTTCAAATACATATTCTGGCCCTCTGTCCCTTTCGGCGCCCTCGGGAACCCCAATTAAACGTAGGTTTTTCTTCCTCAGACTGTCATTTATTTGCCTTAATCTGTCTTCATGGTCCCTTAATTGTCTGTCTCTTTTTTCCTCAGTTTCCCTCTTTGCCATCAACTTGTCTTCTATGTCACTCACTCGTTCTTCCACCACGTTAACCCTCGTCGTTAGGACTTCTAGTTTGGATTGCATCTCATTCAATTGATTTTTAATTTCTGCCTGATTGGATCTAAATTCTGCAGTCATGAAGTCTCGTGAGGCCTTAATGCTTTTTTCTAGAGCCACCAGTAGCTGTATAATGGTGCTTCTGAATTGGCTTTCTGACATTGAAGTGTAATCCAGATTTTGTAACTCTGTGGGAAAGAGGGCTGTTTCTGATTCTTTCTTTTGAAGTGAGGTTTTCCTTCTAGTCATTTTGCTCAGTGCAGAGTGGCCAAAAACAAGTTGTATTGGAACACGGGGGAGTATCACTGGTCCGTCTAGCTGGTCTTCTGGGGGAGGGGCCTGCTGTGCTGATTTTCAGGTGTCAGCACTTGGGGGAGCTGCTCTGCCCCTGCCTGCTGCAGGGCTCAGCGGGGGTTGTTTACCCCGTGGGACCCAGGGAGGAACAGCAGCAGTTGCTATGGCAACTCTGGAAGCCTGGATTCAGCCTCCGCAGGAACTACGGGGCTCGGGGCTCTCGGCTCTCCGTCCGCAGGGCCTGGAGGCTCCGGGGCGGGGCCGCTGATCTGCTCAGCTCGGGGCAGGAGCGTCCTTGCTGTCCTGGGCCCTCCCGGCCTCTGCCTGTCCCGGGGGAGGCCGGATCCTGGGCTGTGTCCCGGCGCCCTGTGCTCCGGGCCTGCGCTGTGGATTCGCGCTCCCGCCCCGCAGCCCCCTCCCTGGAGCCGCTCCCGAGCCCCTCCGAGCTGCTCCGGTCGGTCCCTCCGTGCGCGCTGCAGCCCTTAGGGAGCTCGGAGCACTCTCCCGCGGCGCAGGTGTCTGTTAGTGTCCCCGGGAGCCCGAGGGCATCCCCGCCCTCCTGGGTCCTGCTCCAACTCCCTGCGAGCCCCTTTCCGCCCGCCCGGGAAGGTTGGTGCAGCTCCTGCTCCTCCGGGACGGGGCTCTCCTGTCCTGGGGACACTCGCCCCGGCCTCAGCCCGGCTCCTCGCGGGGCCCCTC